TAGTAAATATCCCCAAAGGAAACAAGAAGTCTGTGAGCCAATGCTCACTAATAATATCCCCGCTCTGATGTGAATACACAAGTTCATTTTTGGACAAGGGATAAACAAGAAGTTGACATCATATTCGTACAAAAATGAATCCCACCATATGACATGCCTAAAAAATGAGTGTGCTAAACTTTCAAGCATCTGCAATAAGTAGTTGCTGAGAAATCTGCAACCAAAATTTGTAATGTATGGTACGGACAGACGCGAGGATAAAAAGGAAGTTGAAGTCAGATTCGCACAAAAATGAGTCCTACCATATGGCATGCCTAAACAAAGAGTGTGTTAAAATTTCAAGAATCTGGAATAAGTGATTGCTGAGAAAACTGCGCCCAAAATTTGTTATGTATGGTACGGACAGACACATGGATAAACAGGAAGTTGACATCGGATTCTCACAAAAATGAATCACACCATATGGCATGCCTAAACAAAGAGTGTGTTAAAATTTCAAGAATCTGCAATGAGTAATTGCTGAGAAAACTGCACCCAAAATTTGTTATGTATGGTACGGACAGACGCATGGATAAACAGGAAGTTGACATCGGATTCTCACAAAAATAAATCACACCATATGACATGTCTAAACAAAGAGTGTGTTAAAATTTCAAGAATCTGGAATAAGTGATTGCTGAGAAAACTGCGCCCAAAATTTGTTATATATGGTACGGACAGACGCATGGATAAACAAGAAGTTGACATCGGATTCTCACAAAAATGAATCACACCATATGGCATGCCTAAACAAAGAGTTTGCTAAAAATTTCAAGCATCTACGATGAATAGTTGCTGAGAAAACTGCGACCAAAATTTGTTACGGACAGACACACGGACACACACACACACAGACTGGCAGACAGACGCACAATGGCAAAACAGCATATCCCCCTCTCCTTCGGAGCGGGGGTATAAAAAGCAATTAAACTATTGGTGATTTTCAGTATTAAATAATAATTTTGATTCATTAACTTGTTGTAATATTACATCAAAAGTATTAATATAAAAAACGCACGTCCTCATTTAACAATTGAATTGGAACTTTAAAAACAATAGATAAAAATAAAGATTTTTTTTTATTAATCAATAAAACAATCAAAATTAAAATGACGCAAAGATATTCAAAATAGGTGAAATGAATAAAAACTTTCACAAAATGGAATTTAAGAAACTATTTTTGCACATTAGCTTTGTCATTTCAGTATCCACATCAATAATCAAATTAAAAAAATAGCCAATAAGATCTGAGAGGAAATACTCTAAAGTCATTTATTTTCGTGGGGTCAAATTTTCGTGGTTGTAGGAAAAAATATTAGTGATTTGATTTCGTGGAGGATTTAAGTCCGTGGGTCTCCACAAACCATGAAAATAAACTCCCACAAAAATAAATGATTTCACAGTATATTTCAAATACATTCACAATATCAACTATAACTTAAAAAATAAAATAAAAATAAATAACAGTCATACATAAAAGAAGTGTGCAGAATACTCCAAAATGTAAATGAACAAAAGGAAGGATTAACAAGATATCACTAAAATAATGCGAGCTGATTATTAAGAATTTATGTATAAAATGATTTTTTTCTTCGTTTTTGCCCATTGAATGAAGAAAATGCCCTATAAAAATCAGCAATTTTTTTTATTTTTACATAAGAATGATATTTACAATAGGCTACCTTTATTAAGGCCAGACGACACGTTCCTCAAAAATATATAACTTTTCCCAAGAATTTGTCATTGAAGTATTGCTACTTAAACAAGTTTCCTCACCAACAAGAGGCCCAAGGGCCTTAATGGTCACCTGAGTATAATACAACAATTTAGAGAAAAATAGAGTGATCAGGATAAAAAAAATAATTAGTCTAGCATTCATTCACAGTTGATAAATTAGGTTCTAATCTGTTCCTCATTTAACACTTTCACCATACAGTAAATAAACAAAATATCACTGCTTCTGTACCATCTTAATTCCTTGTTGAAATCTCTTACATTGGTCTCTCTTGATCTTTGATGAACATTTAATAAGACAAGTTATTTTTGTCTCATTTTTATTTATCTATTACTTACAAGTCTACCTGATCATTAAAACTATGAAAGTACTTTTTGTACTTTTTGTATTATACAATAAAAATTCTTGCATAATTCTCTTATTCTATTAACCTTTCAAGTACATTATTTACAGTGATTAATTATCAAAAGTAAATGGCAAACTCTCAGTAGATTACAAATTAATAGTGCCCTAGCTAGGACCAGAACACTTTACTAAATGGTCCAGATGTTCAAATATCTGGTAAAAATACCCTTCCTTATTAAAACTTTTACTCTTTTTGCCTCTGATATGCCCAGGTGCAGAGAAGATTTTTAAAGAAATAATGCATTTTTACTACAGATTCACTATATTATCAATAGAACCCCCCCCCCCCCCTCCATCGAGAAACATCAGAGCCTCTCACCCTGGGACCAGAAGTTTGCACATCATAAGTAATCACTTTGTTTATCTGCTTAACACTGAGGAGCAGACAGGATTTTGGAAGAGGCATCCTTGCTTATCATAACAATGTACTTAATTTGTTTAAATAATACCAAGGAGCAGAGAAGAAGATTTTTAAATCATTAATGCATTTTCACTATATAATAAATAGAGCCCCACCCTAACACCAGAACCCCTGATCCAGGGGCTATGAAATTCACAATTTTGGAAGAGGCATCCTTGCTTATCATAACTATGTATTTAATTTGTTTCAGTAATACCCAGGAGTAGAGAAGAAGATTTTCAAAGAAATAATGCACTTTCACTATATATCAATAAGGCCCCGCCCTAGCACCAGAACCCCTGACCCTGGGGCTATGAATTTCACAATTTTGGTAGAGTCACTCTTGCTTATCATAACTATGTATTTAATTTGTTTCAATAACACGCAGGAGTAGAGAAGAAGATTTTCAAAGAAATAATGCACTTTCACTATATGATCTATATAGCCCCGCCCTAGCACCAGAACCCCTGACCCCGGGGCCATGAATTTCACAATTTAGGTAGAGGGCTCAATGCTAATTACAATCATGTCAACAGTTTGACTGCTTGATGTCCAGGAGTAAGGAAGATTTTTAAAGATTGCATTAATTTTGGTGGTTTTAGCCCCACCCCTCAGGCCCCAGGAGGGCAGGGACCACGAAATTCACAATTTTTGTCCCCCTTCACCCACAGATGCTAATTGCCAAAATTGGTTGAAATTGGTTGAGCGGTTTCAGAGAAGAAGCTGAAAATGTTTAAATGTTAACGCACGACGCACGATGGACGACGGACAAAAACGGATAGCAATAGGTCACCTGAGTCACTCAGGTGACCTAAAAATTGAGGTACCTTACCAGGTATTTGAGCAAGATACCAGAGGGCAATATTTCCTATATAATCCATTTAGGTAATGTTTTGATCTGCCAGTGTTACAATCTTTGTTGTACTTATTTTTTAAAACATATTGAAAACAATTTAGAAATCACAAGAGAGTGACAATTATGAATAATTTTTGATATAATACCAAGGTATACAAAACATATAATTGACGTGTCGTCTGACCTTAAAGGTTAATACTTGTTATCTTTATAATAATTCATCTTATCCAGATTTAACTCGTGCATGTAAATATTTCAGTGTTATAAAATTCCGATTCAACAAAAATTTACGATGTTAAAAAAAAAAATGTACAAGATAACATTAAAAATAAGTATTTGATGAGATTGAAGCTCTACTGATTAAGCTTATATATAAGTACCAGAACTGATTTAGCTTTACATTAACCGAATTTTAATGACAGACGACAGGGGGATTTTTTTTTTTAAAGATTTCATTCATTTTCCTACATTTAATAACCACTGTATTATTTCCATTGAATGCCATAGTGTAGTTACTGATATCAATTACATATCAAGCAAAATTGAGGAAGAGTGACGTTCCGACAGAATTTTACATAAATTTCTTTTTTTGGAGCCATGGCAAAGCCAACTGTCAACATCAAATAACAAATGAAAAGTATTATGTAGCGTTTCGCAGTCTTCCTGTGTAGGAGATTAAAATTAAAATTTGAGCAATTCAGTAGGAGGGGTAGCGTTTTGAAAAGAGGTTCACAGAGATTTCTATTTTTAGTAAAAATAGCAGTACTGTTAGTTGAAATAAAAAACAAAACAAAGCAAATAAAGGAGTTATGCATTAAGTGCAGTCTACTTGTGTAGCAATTAAGTACTTAGAAAAATTGTTTACAGAAAAACAGACCAACAGACAAATAAATCAACAAACGGACGATGGACACTTTACCATCGCATAAACTCTTCTAGTCTTGGACCAGTAGAGCTAAAACAACTCAAAATGCATTTTTTTTTTTAGAAAGTCATACATCAGTTCATGTTACTTTTTTACATTTTCCAATAGGACTTTTTTTGAAAGACAATTCTTTGTTCATTTAACTTAGTATAATTTGTTCAACTTGAGAGACAAAAATAACGAACTCTCATTGGAAAACGACTTGTTACTATTCATCACAATTTCTTCCCTCCTATATTTACAACTCTAACAACTCATTTCCTTAGCAATATTCCTAATATTACTTTTAATTTAGCACCATTAAGTAACAACTTGTTGTCCTTGACACACATTCGCACTCGTGAAAATAGAAAAAAAAATCCTGTCTCACGAGTGAAATAAATTCAATATCCAATCACAAAACACTGAATATACCCTATTTACATCACAATAATGATAATTAGAAACCCTCCTCATAATACATGTATGTGATTCTCTGCTTATAATTAAAACCTCGTTTTTGTAGAGTACATGTTACTCTTTGTTGAATGGATTAGTAGCGAGAAAGTTTATTTTTTCAATGACATAGACTAAATTAAATTAAATTTTGGAGGATGCAAAACCACATTTTGCTAATCTCTTATTATTTATTGGAATGGACAATCACCTGGCATTATCAATTAGATATCAACAATAGTAAATGAGTAAAAGTTATATATCACAGTGTGAGTCAATAACACGTATAAATTATATCCAAATATCGTTATAAACAGCACCACGCTGATTTACAGAATTTCACAATCCTTCTATTAATCAGCATTACTTTGCAAAATATTTTTGAAAATTTGAAGATGTTCTTTATTTAGATTGACAAAATCATAGAACGTTTTTGCCCTTTCTTTTCTTTTTCGTCCAGATCCTGGACTACATTTCTGCACTATATCAAAAGGCACATCTCCAATTTTCTCAAAGGTGTCGTTGATAATGCTGGAATCAATGTCATCTAACAACATTTCAGTGTTCTCAAATAAGCCTGAAAAAAAAAGAAAAATGTGCATATTCTTTTGCATTACTTCTTAAAAATATTTCATTTGAGAAAAGACTTTTGAAATCAATTACCATTTTCCTCAGCCATTGCAGAATCACAAGTAGGGATTTCCTTGCTTCTGTACATATCTATCACACAGTTCATTGTATTCTTAAAAACTTTACGTTTCTTTCCACTTAGAAATAACAGAATGGCCTTTGCAGTCTGTTTCCGAGCATGGGTGGGACTGAAGAGATCCTCTATTTCTCTATGATATCCAGGTAAACATGTTTTAAGAAATTCTTTCACTATACTAGGCTCCATGTTTTCCAATATCTCTTTCTCGAAAGGAAGTGAATTATTTTCAATCGATTTCCTCCCTTTGAATAGTGGGTCTTGGTAATTAAAAAAGAATATATAAAATGTATTCATAATTTAAAATTAATTTTAAGTTGTGTACATTTGTTTCCTATTTTGAAATTTACATTATAATTGATAGTTTTAATTTTTTAAATATAAACTATGTGCATATTTTCAGTCATTCATTATCATCATAAATCAGATTCTGTTTAAACAAAAATATTGTTGGAGATTAAACTTCGTTTATTTTGTTGATTACCATAATTAATAAAATTAAATCCCGCAGTAATTTTTATATGGTACGTTATATATTTAATATGGTTATTTTTGGAACAAAATAAAGCCCCTCCCCCCAACATTTTACATGTACTTCAAAATTTAACGATATTTACTCCCCACTAAACTTTGCTTTCACGGTGGTTACCTTCCGCACATGAATTTTTCCAAATTTTGCATTTAATGTTGTGACAATCAGTTTTTATGTGAAAGCCAAGTCCTTTCATTTCACCGTTTATTGCCAGGACAAGAAGTTGTAAACGGTCTTGTATTCTGCTGTGGCGTGGTTGAACTTGTACATACAGTATCAACATGCATTTGGATTTCAACAAACCTAAAAATAATTATCAAGTACAGTGGAGATTAGAAGAGTCAAAAAAGTGAATTTTGAAGGAAAAAATTCTTAATGTACATATCGCATGTAATTGATTAGAAAAATTAATGCATCTTTCCATATTTCATTATAGATTCAGAAGAAAATGTGTTATACAATACAAGCTCCTCAACCCAGAAAGCATCTAAAGACCTCTTTAATCATTTCTTTGAAAGACTGGAGACTTTCTACATGTACATGTATTATTAATCATAAAGTCGAAATTCTTATTATCAAATATTAACAAGACAGTTTACCTGGTTCTATAATCCAATTCTTTGTTTCTATTCTAAAGACTCTAAGTGACCATATGTTTGACAAATTAATCTTTGTCATTTCTGTGACGTTTTCTTTTGGCAGAGAAAATACTAATATTAATGACCCTTCTTTGACACCACAAAGTTTAATTTCCCTAGGTTCTAAATGAAGAAGAGTCGCTAGTATTTCACGAATTTCCTCCATTTCACGGCGAACAGTGTCATTCGATATATCCAAGCTGGTATGAAGAGTTATTAATTCATGGTTTTGACCTAAAATGGAAAGAAACACTCTAGCTTGTGATTCTTGATTACGTTTTAAATTGATTTGTATGTTTGTAAATAAAAAAAATCGCGTTTTACACTTGATTTTAATACAGGTAAGACACTATGTAAAGTTTTAAACAAATTTAAAATTTTCCAGCAAATAAAAATAAATCATTCTGTCATTCAAATCGGAAGACTTGGTCTTTACATTGAGGCGTCTTGAAATAATACTTGTTTACCTTCCCTTCAAGAAAAGAATATAAACCCTAAAGAGTGCAAGAGTGAATAAACCATTCTAACTTTGTCTAAAACAGTCATAGTTTGTTAAAAAATCCATGTTTAAAAAATTTCAATCTCACAACCCTCTGATGTCGACGTCACTGCTTACGCAAAAGAAGAGATGGTCAATAGGGACAGGCGCAAAAGGAAAACCGAAGAAAATGCAATAATAAAGAATTCAATCTCTTGTAAATGGATTTGATATTTATTTCACACGTTAGACAGAATTATCTTTATTATATTTTCACACACGCGTAAAAGTAAAAAGAAAATCCTCCCCTGCTCTTGAAATAAATTCCATTTTAAACTACAAAACATTGAATATCCTCTTATACTTTGCCTAAGTTGATTTGTGTCCCTTGCACATACTGCAGGGAGAATTCTAATTTTTAATTATTCATACTGACAAACTTATCTAAAACTTTATTTTAGAATTAATTGTATGAAATGATTTGTTTCTGAAATGGAGTTTTCATTTGATCATAAAATTACCTTCACGAGTACATTCAAAATATGCGAGACACAAAGGGAAACATTTTGCAAATACAGCGCATTCCTCAACCAGGTCCACAGCTCCGCATTTTTTCAGTAATTGTTGTAAATGCCAAATATTACACTGGAAGTTATGTTCTTTGTTCCATTGTATAAATTTTTCTCGTTGATTTACAGTATTTTCCTCCCTTTTATCTGAAATGCATTTATTTGACCTATTTAATGCATCCATATAGCAGTGTTAAAAAGCTATATCAAACAATATACAATTTTTGACTTTTGATGAAGTCTACTTATGAATATAAAGACTGATCGGGTATTGGTTGGCCGAGGCTGAAGGCTAAGGTTAACAAATACCTGAAACAGCTGTGAACAGGTCCAAATAATCACAAGTAGGCTCAAAAGTCAATAACCGTTTTATTAAATAATCAGGTATTATACAATATATTTTACACAATAGGTCCTGTCTCCAAAAAATACAAACACCTCAACATTATGCAGCTATTACTGTTTTTGAAGTCAATATATTGATTAGCCAGTGTACAATATTCCCCTAGACGGAATTTTGTAAATGCAAGTATATGTACATTGTACATACATGGAAATTATTGTAAATATTGCCTATAGGATGTATTTTAATAAACTGAACGAGTAAGAGAACAGAACTTAGTATGATTTCTATAATGTTAGATCTCAGCAAATCAGAAATTATTTAATCTCCTATATGACATATAATAAAATATGTTGTTTAACGGCGTAATTATATTTCAACAGTTAATAACTGTTTAACAAAGTGGAAAACAGTATTGTAAAACAATGATTACTCATCCATGAAATATGTGGAGATAACGAACAGCGTTCGGGCTCAAAAGTCCATTAAACATTACAAAATAGAAACAGAGCAAACACGGACCTCTAAGACATCAGAGGTGGGATCAGGTGCCATGGAGGAGTGAGCATCCCCTGCCGACCGGTCACACCTGCCGTGTGCTCCTTGTCATGATCGGGAAATAACGGAAAAATCCGTCGACAATTCAGTGTGTAAATAATGGAATAACAATTAGTATGAAAAAACGTCAGTCAGCATTTGACTTAATGAAAGATTTATTTGCTGACAAGGTCATTGTATCGACCATATAACTTACGAAATGATGACTTTAAACGAGACTGCTGTTATTCTTGTTTCATCAACTTGCCTATCAATAACTTACCTAGTTTAAGAAATTGTTCATACATAGAGTATGCTCTGGCGTATCGAATCAACTGAGAGATATAAACCCCGTATGCAGGTGATAAGGGTATATTGCTGCATAAATAAGGGAAGTTGACGATTGAAAAGTTAAAGTCACCACGTTCGTAAAGCTATGTTGTTAGATTACCATTAACGTCTTTTTGTAATAAAATATCCAAATATGAAACAGATGTGTCAGACTCTGTGGTATCTTTTATCTCAAGCTCAGCCGGATATATCGTGTCGACATAAAATAGAAATAAGCACTGTTAATTAATTGACATTTACGTCGTCGATATATCTATATGTCGAGTTGAAGGCCATCTACTAATAAAGGAGCTTAGTTTCTCCGATACTGGCTTCTTTTTTACGGTAACAACGACATATGCTTTGAAACTCGTGGTTTGATTGTTTGATTAAAATCTAAGCAAATCTATGTTTGGTAAATTGAGACCCCCTCCACCAAAAAAAAAAAAAAAAAAAAAAACACAAAAAACAAAAACAAAAACAAAAAAAAAAAAAAAACAAAAAAAAAAAAACAACAAAAAACTCCCGCAACTTTATTTTGAACTACACACTCTGTAGTTCACCTCAGGGAAGAGAGTCTGGACCAATCAGAATTCCTGATCATCTACTGATGGCCATTAATCTTCCCCAAATTAAACTTTAATAGAGCAATCTATAATTATGACTTGAAGAAAAGAATATTAGGATACTTCAAACCATTAAAAATGTTAATTAATTATGAAATTAGTTAACTATGATATCAATAATTTGACATAAATTCCCATATCAATTTCTTTGAAAGAAAAAAATGGAGTTTTTTTTTTTTGTTTTTTTTTTCTTTCAAAATTCCAGGTCTGTTTAGACTCTGCTTCTTTTTCTTAAATGTAATTTGAATAAAGATGATATTTCTTAAATATAAAAAAAATTAGATTGGACAGACTTGCATTCTTTTAGTATCAAAGCCAACCTAAGTTGCTTTTTTTCATAGGTTCTGCATATTCTTGTAGTAGCTCGTAGTTTGCAACCTCATAATAATGACAAAATAGTCTGCCATCTGCCATTTCCATCAGTTATTACATATTTAACCATGAATATTTACTTAATGCTATGTTTATATTTGTCTTAGCTGCAGAATTGTAGCGTTATGGTTTTATAGTTTAGTCTTTATGGTCAAAGACTAAAATATAAAACCATAACGCTACAGTTCTGCAGCTATATTTGTCTGCAATCTGATTGCTTAAAATATTAATACGTTCTTCAGTGGGATTCGAACCCATGACCGAAGGAGTTTCCTTACTTCACCAATCTAGAAGACTAGGCTTTAACTACTGTGCCCTGCGAGCAATAAGTGCGGTTGATATATGCTATAACATGTAAGGTTGTCATCTATTGACAGTCAACTGAATAGGTATGCAACCATGACAAAATACTAAGGAAAAATTAATCAAGCACAATGAAGCAATTAGATTTTAGTTTAAAGATCTCAATCTTTCAATGATGCGCGATAATTTTATTTTCATTGTTCATATATCTTGATTTATCTGAGAACATTTTCTAAAGGAATTATTTTTATTGAAAAACCCTACCATAACAACAAAAAGTTTTATTCCCCCCCCCCCCCCCCCATCTGTTTATCTGTTTGTCCGCAAAAACTTTAACATTGCCCATAACTTTTGATTGGCTGAAGCTATGGCTTTCATATTTCACACGTCGTGACGTGTATTCCTACTGACAAGAACTTTCTTTGGGTACCATCTTATTTGACCTTTTGACCTTGGCCTTTGAGTTTGACCCAGTTTTGCAAAATTTTACCGAACTTTAACCTTGGCCATTACTT